GGGTGTAACATGAAACATGGTACAAAAGGTGAACTAAGCCTTTAAAGCAATCATTGTCTAAATACAAGAGGCATGTGTATTCTTATTTGAGTCTTGGTGTGGTTTGTGTATTTCTTCCATATCTGTGTAGTAATCCAGTGTGAAACTTTGCCTTTGTGCAGGAATTTCCTGTAATAAAGACCAGTCACTGCTGCTCTCTCTCCTTGTGCAGTGTGACTGGTCTTGTATCAGGCAGCCTGGAATGGGAGTACCTGTTGGGTTCCTCTTACAGCTCTCGATGGCTATGTGCAGCACAGTGAAGATGTCACTACTTCTTTTACAAGGTCACTGATGCTACTGCTGCTTTTACAGGATACAAACTAGATTGGCAAAGGCAGATGGTGCTCACAAAGTGGATTTATATCCTTTTTGGTTACTGAGAAATTTACACTGCCTAGCCAAAAAAAAAAGACGACACACTCTAATATTTTGTTGGACCGCCTTTAGCTTTGATTATTCGCCATGGCATCATTTCGATGTATTGTCACAACATTTATTTCCATCCATAGTTGCATTTATTTTTAACCAAGATCTTAGAGTGATGATGGGAGTGTTGGACCACTGTGTAAAGTCTTCTCCAGCACATCCCAAAGATCAGGCCCGGCGCTACAGCAAGGCAAGTCAGGCGGCCGCCTTACGGCGCTGCAGGGTGAGGGCGGAAAAAACAGGGCATTTTGACTTGTCAAAATGCCCCGATGTTTGCGCTATGTTTTTTTTTTCTTCACTTACCTTCGGTGCGGGAGAGCAGCGGCGAGTCAGCGCTGGTCCGGTGGGAGGAGCTCCAGGTGGGGTCCTAATTTAGCTGGCCGGCAAAAATGCACCTTGCCTGTGTAGGCAGGAACCCTAGCACCGGCAATGCCAAAGATTCTCAATAGGGTTAAGGTCTGGACTGTGGTGGCCAATCCATGTGTGAAAATGATGTCTCATGCTCCATGAACCACTCTTTCACAGTTTACGCCCGGTGAATCCTGACCTCATTTTTTGGGCACATAACGTTGCTGATCCTAGATCTACCCAACTGAAGCAACCCCAGATCATAACACTGCCCTAAATCCAATCTTTCACAATTTGAGCCTGATGAATCCTGGCATTGTCATCTTGGAATATGCTCATGCCATCAGGGAAGAGAATGGAAAAACCTGGTCATTCAGTATATTCAAGTAGACAGCTGACCTATTATCCAATGAAAGGCACTGTAATATATGCTTGGCTAAATCCAAGTGGTGAGGGGTGTTTGGGCCAGGCAGTGTATTTAAATGAGAGGTTTTGTGCCCCAAGTTCAGCTTTAATGTATATCTTTTTCTTTAATACAAATATTTGTATTTATATGCAATGTCTGCATAATAAGTTCAATAAAATACAATTAATAAGAACCCAGCTGTATTCCATTTAACCCAGAATGAGATAAATGTGAATATTTCCTTCCCAGGGAACTCTGCTGTCACTGAGCAACTGGTAGTACAGTCCATACAGACACCACTGCTGGGTCAATAGGAGCAGAGGAGGCTGCACGTCTAAAGGGATGCGTGGCGTCATGTAACAATGGTACCCCGAAAAACCGCTCTGATTTATTTTTTTAAACAATGATCTGATCATACAGCAGTACCGGCAGACGTTATTCTTTATAGCATTAGATTTAGGAAGCGATCGAATATTATGTTGTCAGTGATCACCCTCAAAAGAAGGAGGATTAAGAAGGCGGATCTGAAAAGTCAGGGAGGGGAAAGGCAGAGCTCTCTTCCCAATCCCCTCAATGCATAGTCACTCCCATCTCCCTGCCCTGCTTCTATCATATGCACGGTGAGAGGGTGCAGATCGTAGAAGGCAGGGAGCAGCAGACGGTGAATGATGATGATGGTGTCTGAATCCCCGGGAAGTGTTGGCAGTAGGAAGAAGATAGGTCTATCTTTGTTGGAAGAGGCTCGATCCCGCTACGAGAGCCTCCAGATCTCTGATGACCTATTCGGGGAGTCAGGAGAAGACAGCAGCGGTAACCCGTTTTATAGTACCTCTCCAGACTCCAGATCTTCAAGCAAAGGCGGTTCCTCTGAGGATGATGATGATGGGGGTTGTAGAGAGGACCAACCTAGCTTCATGGAAGGTGATGTAGATAACCAGACAGGTTCTGGATTGTTGTGTGACCCTACCTACTTAACATCCAGGCCAGAGGCATCTGATTTAAAATTAGGAAAACACAACAAACCTCCAGGAAGAAGCAGATCAAAGAGGAAGGGGAAAGCTGAAGATGTAGTGTCACCTGCTGCCAATGCTAAAGATATCCCACAGGATGAAGGTGAAAGGGGTGAGGTGCCTAGCCAGAAGGCACAAGCAAGGCTTGGAGAAGACCTGAAGGAGGAGGAGGGATGGTCACACACCCTTCAAGATGTATCCTCCCCTAGCTTCAAGGAGACAAGCGGTATGAAATCAGCTGCAGATAATGCAGACTTAGAAATTCATCTCTCAATCCTCCTTATACCCTGTAGATATATATAAATGCAGCAACAGACATGCTCAGTTGGCATTTAGGTTCCTGACACTTTGGTTCTATTAGTGATGCTAAATACTCATCTTAATATCGTGTGCTAGTAGTATATAAACAAATAGTTCTTTATTACCTGCTGGTTGTACTAATTTGTAATGAAATGTAATCTTTGACCTGTTGATATATAAGACTTTTTGCTGTAAAGGTCAATACATTAGTGCCTGAGGCCTTGGCTCCCCTTGAGATTCAACCTTTTTACCCCTGAGGGTCCCTTGAAATAATTTTCAGGTTCTCAGGAAACCCCAGCTAAAAAGGATTATACCTACAGCTCATGGTACATTAGCATGATCAATTAGTTGAAGAAAGTTTTTAATACAAAAATAAGGAATGTGGTGTACCTAGCGTATTTGAAACTCAGGGTAAATAATTTTGTTACTAACTACCTACAAAATTATTTTCTGTAATATTCTTGAAATGAATAATGGCTGTGGAAAAGACAGTAAAAATTGGAGCATCTTCTAATATTAGTGGCCTGTGTGCTTAGTGGAAAATTCTCTGATTCCATTGGTGGTCAGTGTAGGTGGGAGATCAGTCCACCATTGCGCACTGATCAAGGAAGCCGTAGTAGCCTCAGGATGAACCCTAAGGTTCCACAGAACCTTGGTTGAAAAACACTTCTATAGACCAACCTAAATAGAGCAAGAGATTAGTGTTTTTCACTATGTCATGACAAAAATAATTCAAAGAATAAGAATTATTGCTCATTGCATGCAGTTGAATATATTATAAAGCTATCATTATAATTAAGATATGGTCTCCTGTACTAGTTTTTTTTGCAGATGCACTATAAAGCTCAATCATGTGCTAGACATGATTGCTGGCTAAAATAAGTTGCAAATCATTTTTTGAAGTTTTGTTGTCTTGGGTCATCGCAGTAAACAGGCTTTATAGGCCAGCAAAAGGGGGTAGAGGGGAGCAGAGGGGCAGTTGCCCCAGGTACAGTGTTTTTATGTGTGGGGAGGCAGCGTGGGGACAGCTGCAGTGTCTCATCCATGTTGCCAGGGTCGTAGAGTTGCAGCAGATGCCCTGTACTGGAATGCTAAGTATTCCAGCACCAGGCAGTGCTCCTTTAGGCATCACAAGGATGCACTGTAGATCAATCCTCTTAGACCTACCATCAGTACAGGTGCCCGCCCGAGAGTGAAGTCCAGGGCTTTCTCTCCCCAGCCATGTGATGGGTTACATGACTGAGTACATAAGTATGTTGCAGTCTAGTGCTACCAGTGCAGGAACTGTACCTACCTCCACTACACTACAACAGTGTAACAAAATACCCCCAACTCCTGCAGTGCCCTTTGGAGAGACCCCAGCCCCCTTCGGAGACCCCAACCCCCACAGTTGCCTCCAGCCCCCTGCAGAAACCTCACCCCTACAGGGCCACCAACTACCTATTGAACCCCTATCCACTCACAGTAACACCCAGCCCCATCCAGAGCCTTCCAGCCCCCAAACACATCCAAAGTTCCTACCGCACTTCAAACCCTAGTAATATAGTAACCCCTTAAATTATATACTACACATGATACAAGATTACACTGGTTATACTACACATGTAACACAGGAACTGCTTTAATAAACAAGTACACACTGCTACACTTCATGTGCATCGCACCCACTGCTTATGTAATATACTGTGGGGGGAATTTATAAAAGCAATTGCAACAGTTATAGCCTTTTTTTATGTGCAAATCTGTTTAGCCTCTCCTTTTAACATGTGCACCTATTTGGACCAGAGCTTGCGCTATTTTCCAGAGTGCGTATGTTTTGTGAAAGTTTGCAACTGTTTACATTTGAGCTTGTCCTGCGGCTGTCTGAAACTGGCGCATCACATAAAAAACAATTGCAACTTAAGAAGTCCCCATGACAACTTTATCAGTTAAGCTTTTTGCCTGGAGTTGTGAGTCTTCTTTCATGGAGTCTATTTAACCTCATTTATGAACAACATAACACTAGCAACATAAATCTGGCACAAAGTGCGTCAAATATATTCCATGCAAGTTCAAACACTCGCAATTGCTTTGACAAATTCCTCCCTGTATGTATTAACTCAGTGCTGGGATAACGGTGGTGGTGCAGGAGGGGCAGCTGTGAGTGATTTCTATTTTATTTTAAAATATCTAAAACATTTTCATGTCTTGAAAAAATATGATTTATATGTAATAAACGGGGGAAAGGGGGCATAGCGTGACATCTTCACCTTGCACACTGGATGACCTTGTCCGTGGCAATGATTTTAAAGTATTATCCCCTACTTTACTTATTACGGTATATCTAGACATGGTGGCAAGAAGGCAGAAGTTAAAGTGTATCTAAGCCAAGCACAAAAATGTAAAATATTGCAGCTTGATAGTCCATATGTGGTGACTGCACTCATCTTTCTTTTTTTTTTTGTGGCCTTTATTTTAACTGTATTTTGTGGCTTTTAACTGTATTTTCACCTGTTGATCCTACCAAGAACATAGCTCCTGTTTTACGGTGACAACACCCACTCACTGTATTGTATTTATTGAGGAACAGCAGTGTCATCTTAGGACAGGAATTGTGTTAGGACTGTAGAACGCCTCCCCCTTATCATCTATGCAGATGGGGAGATGTTCTGTAGTTCACAATGGAAACTTAGGAAGGGCTAATATGACTGCTTGAGAAGGGCTAATAAGACTGCACACAAGAGCACTAGATTTCTGGCAGGATCAACAAGTATTTTGCACTAATCCAACAGATACAGTATATTAAAACACTTTCAATTTTCTATTTAATATACCAAAAGAGAACAAAGTCATTATGTTCTTTGTTTAGGTTTACATATACCTAAAATTAATTCATTAATTTATTTTTAAATACATTTTATTTGGAATTTTTCAGCAATAATAAATCAAATCAGACAGTAAGCTCAAATGTAAGAGCAACACTAAAAATAAAGACAAAAGAGGAAAAAAAATTAAAATAAAAAGGAAAAAGGGGTCAGCAACCCCAACAAATAATAAACAAACAAACAAGGCACGAGGCATACGTTGCTTTGGGATAGGTTTGTAGCTAGTACCATAAGTCTCATGCTGGTTACCCTATGTCTCGAGTGCATTATCAACCCCTGATGCGATATCCAAAGGTCCTAATACATGAGACATCTGTGCAGTTAGGTACCATGTCGTATAAATAAAGGGAGACATTAGTTGAGACAATTCGGATCTATCATATGTGGCGGCAGCGAAATATCGCCAGCGCTTGAAATATTTAGCTGTTTTCAGATCCTTGTGTAGTTCTGCATCTAATCTTTCCCTGTTAAACAACCATTTAAGTTCTCCCACAAGCTCTGATATCTGGGGGGTGGAAGGTGCATTCAAAGAGCGCATTATACATCTGCTTGCTGCCAGCAGACAGATGTGTATTCAGTCCAATCCCCTACGCTCAGAACAGGGGGGGTAACCTCCAGGGAGTCGCCCACTGCACCGAACAGCATTGGCGACGTAGGCGGTGATAAGGAGACAATGGTATTGATGTACTTAGAGATTTGTTTCCAGAATGCAGTGATAGAAGGGCAAAACCACAGGCAATGTGCCAAGGATGGATGTAATTGGCCACATTTAGGACATCTGGACACCAGTGGTTGCAGAGATGGCCCTTCTGGCAAGAAGTATGGTACATATGCTCTATGAAGCAGTTTGAAAAAATGAATTTATTTTAACTGTGGCATACATTGTATCCCTTTTCAAATTTTACCCTATGCCCATTTATAGAGTGTGGTTCAACTGTAGAGTTTCTTTTATGGCCACCATGATTTAATACATTTTTCATAAATAAATACCAGAGTATGTTTAAAGGCCCATTCACACTAGCCCATCCATTAAAACACTGCTTTTAGCGGACATGCTAGTGCGTTGTGGCAGCTGTGGTATGCTGTCACTGTTTAAATTTTTTCTTTTTTTTCACTTTATTGGTAGTGTACAATGTATACACTCCATTCAGGTCCCTGCATAGTAGTACAGTGTGCTGCACTGCCAATGCGGTGGCATCTAGTGCACATGCAGCATGTTTGCATTTTAGCGCAGCACAGTGCGCCACCTATCTCACCCGGGTTGTGGTGTGAACTGGGCACATAGAAAACAATTGTTTTCTATGTGTCCCAGTGGTGACCTGCATTGATCTGGTGTGATAAAATGCAGCACACTACTGTGTGTGTGAACAAGCCTTTAGTTGTCAGTTCTAGTAATAATAATCTGTATGCTACTTTATCCCTTTACAATTGTATTGGTTATCAGCACTTCTCGGAGACTTCGGTAAGAATCCTTTTTTTTTTTTTTTTTTTTACTAAAGGAGTATCAAGTTCACGGACAGTAAGATGGTAATTTGCCCCATGCTGAGTAAATACTGGGTATAAACAAATTACAGTGTTTCATTTACTCCTTTAGCAAATTAGCTCCTTTTTCGTAAAGATGTGTTTATTTCTTTTACTCAAATTGACATTTTCTCTGCAGTTGTACTTAAAGTTTATCTAAAGCCATTTTTCAATCTTGGATATAGTAGGGAAGGATTCAAATCTTTTTTTGCCATGTGTGTCTCAATGGGGAGACAGATTTCTCCAAAGAGAAGGAAACATTTTTGGACATTACCTCACTATTAGTCCTGGTGACAGTAGTCACTGGATAAATAGAAAAGGTGAACCTCACCAAAAGGGACCCAGACAGCAATAAATACCTGACAGAGATTCTAACCCTTCCAGACGGTATTAAAACTACAAAACATGTTTTTACTTTAGATAGTTTCAAGAAAACCTGGCACCATCCACAACATTACTACAGCCATCACAGGATGCCTGTATACATCATCAGAATATCCGTTTGTACTGAAAGAATGTCATTTGTAAACACATGTAATGCTTTTCTATGGCTGAATGTAAACGTGGCTAGACTGAATGCACCTAGATGTCTTGGTGCTTTAAGTCTAGCTGCATTTACACCAACAAAAATATGTGCACCATTTAGCCCTGTTTTATGCAGCTAAATGCATGTAAACAACCATGCTACATTGTAAAGTAGGGTACATACAGTATGAATTTCGGCCAGTTTACAGCACCCTTCCCCCGGCATCCCTCGATTGAAGGAACAGGTTGGAAAATTATCGGCCGAACAGAGCTAGTAGCCAATCAGCTGCTAGCTCCGTTCAGGTATACTGACAGCAGCTGCTGTCAGAATACAATGCAAACAGCAGGGGATTCGTCCATCAATGCTCATAAGCATTGATGGAGGAATGTGTTTTATTTGTTTTTGTTCAGCTCGCTGGTGGAACATAAAAACCAGAC